TGAGATCGTTGTTCTATTACATTATAATACAAATTTTCCTGAGAACAGTGTCCAAAATATGCCTGTTAGAAGGAACTGCAGTGGTATGTGATGAGCACAAAGGATGAAAGATTTTCCAGGGGTCTTAGAGCAAGAAGCACAGGAAGGTGCACTCCCATCTGCAGCTGCTTCTTACGTACTAAAACTGATATGTTGTTTGGTTTTAATATTGTCCATCTCCTGCTTCCAAAAAGGCATTTATGCCAAACGGAAGAATAAGCAGTTGCACAGGGTTGGGAAATGGAGATGCCCAAATCCTTTCAGGAATTTACTGCTGGCTCTGGAAACACGAGGGCAGCTATGCAGCACAGTGCCAGCAGGCTGACTGCAGCTCAGAGCTACAACAGGTTTCAGCCCTGTGTTCAATGAACTGGGGATCCCAATCCCATTCCCGGGGCTTATCAATTTACACAAAGTCTTCCCAGAATAATGGCTGGATAGAGGTGTGCCAGACCAAACGGGCACCGCACCAGGGCCCAGGGCTGGGACACAAATTTGGAGGGAACCAACAGCAGCAGCCCTGTCTTGCCCCAACAACCTGCTCTTCTCGGCCCACCAGGCATCAGCAGTCGGGACTGCCAAAGGGGATCCAACATCCAGTGCTAATCGACTTCCCACACAAGTTCAGCTCCTGATAACACTTCCGTTTCTTGCCAATCATGCTTTAGTGACAAACTGTCAAGATATTCGTGTTCAAAAGACTGTTCTACCTTAACAGATGCCTGCTAATCTGCAAAGCGATGCAGAATAACTATGGGCAGGGATTCTGATGGCTTTCTCCCCTTGGGGTCTTACTTTTGAAAGCAAATACATCTTTAGAGCTGTGGTAAAAGGACAGCAGAGGAAGGGGAGAGAAATGAAAGCAAAAGACAGCAAGAAAAGCTAGGATAAGAAGAATGGCAGTATAAAACAATCCAGCTTCAGTATTACAACACAGAAGAAATGAATGTGCCAGACCCAAGGGTACAATTCCAGCAGAGGACTAAAAACCTGACCGAATTTGACACATACACGCACTTACAGGGATGAAGGCTGCTGTCAGGTTAAGGTATTGGCTATTCTCTAACATTAGGTGAGAAAACTTCCCTTTTATGCCTGAAGAATAAGAAAAAACAATAAGTCTTAGTTCTGTCCACCCATTTCTCATCTTCATGAGGGTAAGCTGGCTGGAGTCTCTTCATTGAGACTGTTTCGAGCTGGTTACGCTGGTTGTCCTCAAGCAGTGGACAGACTATGGCAGATGCTGCGCTCTCTCCACAGCACTTTCCTACCTACCAGGCCTTTTAAAGGCCACACAGCAACAGGACAGCGAGAAGCATCCTGCTTTGCTTCATCCATCATCCAGGACCGACAGCTCAGCTTCAGCAGCAAAATCTTTATTACTGGTTATGATACAAAAGGCAGGAACAACACGGCTTGATTTCCCCAGAACTAAGGCTGAGTTTGCAGCAGCAGCAGTTGGAGGGGAAATCATTTTGACTTTTCACTGAGCCAATTTGATCTGAAAATTGTTGAGAAGGAACAAATATGGAACCCCACTGTGGCATTTTTGCAGGCACTTTCTGAATGCAACCACTTTTTTTTTTGTCCATCAGTTATTAGTATTTGGTGCATGTTAAAAATTAGCTATTCCCCAAAGTCATGCATGACTGATCAATTACAGAACTAATATTTTTGGTCAGTCATTTTAGGAGATAAATAATCTCAGGTCCTTTTAAAGTTTCCCAACCTGCAGCATGGCAAGATTGTTACTCATTTTCATTCCAGTGCTCTCCAAAAAGGTCAGAGTGCCCACACTACTCGGCTGTGCACAGTAACGCACAGCAGCATATGCCAGGCAAGTCTCTAGGTGACCAACAATCTTCTGCAGCAAGCAGTCTGTGTAATGTTTCCTCTTTTCTTCTCGGGGGGAGAAAAAAAAATGTTTATTGACTTTGGACTGTCTCTGAAATAAATAGAACTTAAGCAGTCTACCCACTCTGCTAAGTTATTCACTGATGCAAAGCAGAATACGTGCATGCACACGTCAACTCAAATCACTGCAGTACTTACTTCTCTTAACAGACTTCTACATACCATTTCAGTTTTCCAATCCATCTTTTTCCTTCCTTTCTGTGCAGAGAAAATACTGCTGTTTGCAGTATTCAAGACAAGAATAAGGGAGTTATACCCTTCACCCAACTCCTTAATCTCCAAACAGCTCTGGTGCTCTAGTGCTGCTCAGTGTTTTCCTGGACAGCAGGTAAGTAAAAAGACACCACACAGATGTTGCTGTCTGGACAACATTATAGTTACACTGTGCTTCTGCTTAAAATATACTAGTCGCTCATTTTCACATAAAACAGCCAAAAATCTAGACACATTCTGCTCCTTGGCTCAAGTATGAGGAGGCTGGGTGGCAGAGAGGAGATAGGCACTAGGGCTCCTGCTCCATTCAAAGCGCCCTACAGGAAAGTGGAAAGTCTTCAATTTGGGCATCTTCTCTAGTCCTTGATCATGCACCAATTCTTTCTCCTTGCCTTTATCTAGCTTCTGGCAGACAGATGGCAGAAAAAAAAAAGAATATATCAATGAGTTCCATCCATAGCCATCCTCCCTCTGCTACATTTACATAGGCTGTAAGAATGTCCAGGCTGGGGGGGTCAAAGAGGAGGAAGAGGACTTAACCATCGGAACACTTTGGAACATATTTTAGCAAATTCTGATGCTTAAAGCCTTGGAAAAAGGAAGAGGAAGAACAAGAAAAAGGTGATAGGGGAAAGATAGAGAGAGTAAACCCCAAATTGCTGCTACATCACATAACACCCTAGCACAGCCCTCCGCAACCAAAACAGCTAGCAATCCCATCACCTGCTCTGCTGGAATCTCTCGCATCATGTGCTCATATGAGCGCCTGCTCACCTAAATGCTGCATCATGACTTTTTTTTTTCCTAGCAGTTTTTTTACCCATCTACTTTTCACGCAGCATTTATCTTCTAACCTCTCTTAGTTCGTCTTTTTCCATGTCTTTAAATCCTGAAAAGGAGGACATACCTTATCTCTTTCATAAGCTGGACTAGCATCCCTTGCACATTCAGTCTCATATCTCAGCATGATATTTGTTTCTCTCCCTCTCTGAATAAACAGAAGCACAAGCACTTTTAAGGAATAAGAGCTCTGTTTGAAGAGTAATTAGCTGTCAGTATAAAACTAGTATTTATGGATTCTCATCCTTGAAAAAAATCTAACTCTGCTACCCAGCACTGATTATGGCTGTGCTACAAACAGATGGAGCTGCATCCATACAACTTGCAATAATCCTATATTTAAAAAATAATTAGGTACAAATAAAGGATTGAATTCCACTAGCTTTCAGAAATTTGATTTCCAATTTGAGTTGTTTGTGCAGCCTGCAAGCTGGGCTATTCCTGGCTATACTGTGTGGTATTAGTGCACCTTGCAAGCAGGAGTCTGCAGCACATGCAAACATATATTCCCAACGCCAAACACATGGGAGGGCCAGAGACGGGTACCCGCTGCACACCCTGTGGCGAGAGCAGAGTGAGAGGATGGCTAGGAGCACACGGAAATCAGACCCCCCTCCCCGGGTGTGTTGTGCCTGGCTGCTCGGCACAGAAGTTGGAGATCTATCAGTGGTGCTGCCTTTGTTTTAAGGACACACAAAGCTATCAGAAGGGAAGCTGCAAAAGCACCCTTTCTGAAAGCCCTTGGAATAACCTGCCCTTTATCACTGCATTACTTCCTTCTCTGTTCAACCTGGGGCAGTATCTTTGCTGAACACTTGCATCTCGATGAAGAAACAAACACAGGAAATTAATACTCCGCTTAATTAAGTCTGTGCATTTAACTTGCTGGCATCTCCTAAAATACCAAGATTCACTCCAAGTTTGTTATCCATCACAGCGCAAGATATGACAAACATGATCCAATCTTACATGGAATCTATAGCTCTTGGTTAACTAGGTCACAGACTGTACTGCAATGTTTGTAAGGCTGCCAGGCTTTTCTGTACAAAGTGCAGGCAGGAGGCCAAATTCGCCCCTCTGCTGCACCCCCACCTCCCTGCTGCTGCCCCTCGGCCCTGCCTGGGTCTGGGTGCGAGCAGTTCAGGCTGCCCTTTGCTGCTAAGGAGGTCTGAGCCGACTCCACCCAAGGCCGAGTGACAAAGTGGCTGATGGGGACAGCAAGGCTCAAGCCTCTGCTCTGATTCCTGCTAGGACTTCCCATCCATCCCCACAGACCGGTACAAGTTTCATCATCTCCTACCAGCTTTTATATATTTAAATGCTATAAAGCATCCAGGTTTCCACCAACACCCCAGGACAGAACCTCTTGCACAATCGCAGACACCTCCTGCCAAGCAAGTTTTTCCCCAATAACCAAAGAGAAATTTCCCTTTGCCTAAGTTCAGCTCTTTACTTCCAGCCACACCCTATTAGACTACCCAAACATTTCCTCTGGCAGGAGGAGAGGTGCAGAAACATTAACAGGCACCTGCCAATGCACTCCATGCAGAGGGCGATGCTGCAGGACACCCATTAACAGAGCCCCCTCCTCCCCCCACCATTCTTGTCACCATCTTTTCAAGATGCCTGTTTGGGAAAGAGAAATGGGGTGATACTGTGGAAGCGAGGGGGACATGAGGAGAGGGGGACAAAGGTCCAATGGGATAATTAAGTGGATGAGCAGCGATGAAGCCATGGGAAGGTATTTCTGGAGAGAAAAAAAATAACATGAGGGGTGATCAAGGATAGGGGACATGGCTATGAAGGGAGGGATGTGCTGTGACCAAAAAGACAGTGGGTGACTGGAGATGTGGGATGAGGGGTGACAAGGCTGGGGGAGGGAAGAGCTGACTGAGGATGGAGAGGTGTGACCAAAGGGGACAGGGCTGTGAGGGAGGGGAGGCTGCCAAGGCTACAGGCTGCCTCGGAGCGGTTAAAACACGGGCTGCTCTTACCTCTTTAACCTTCATCCTGCGGGCCTGAGTCTCGGGGTCTTCGGGGGGCCGCCTGCCCCGCGGCGGGTGGCGGAGGCTCTGCTGGAATCGCTCGTAGTCGAAGCGGGAGGGGGCCTGCGTGTCCCGGGCGGCGGCGGGCGCCGTGCTGGCGGGCTCGGCGCCCCGCACCTGCGGCCGGGAGCCCGGGGCCGTGTGGGCCGGCGGGGCAGCCGGGCGGGCGGCACCGCGAAGCCTGTCCCGGAGGCGGCGCGGGGCGGCAGAGCTGGCGTGGCGGGGCTCGGCGGCGGCGGGAGGGCTACGGGGCAGCTCCGTGTCGCCGGTGGAGGAGGAGGACGAGGCGGAGGAGGCGGAGGCAGATGAAGAAGCAGCGGCGGCGCGGCGGGGCAGAAACAGCCGCTTGAAGCGGGAGGAATCGGGCAGGAGGAAGAGGGCCCCGAAGCAGAGCGTGAGCAGGCCCGAGAGGAAGAGCAGGAAGAGGAACTTCTGCGGCAGCCGCAGCCCCAGCGCCGCCGGCCAGCCCGGCATGCCCGGCAGCTTCCGCAGCAGCACCATGGGGCAGCAGGCGCAGCGGGCGCCGCCGGCCGCAGCGGGCGCCTTCACCGGGCGGCACGC